CAGGGGCCCGAAGTCCTGACACATCTTTGGGGGGGCCCTGCCTGCTGGGCTGGGCCAGGCCAGGGCCCAGTGCCACCAGGGCCCAGTGCCACCACGCTGGGCCTAGCTGGATTCTGACGTCCCCACACTGCACCAGGGGTCCAACATCCCCACTCCAGAGTCTTGAGGGTACCTCCCCCTGGGCCAGGCCAGTCTGGGGCTGTGCTGTCCCTGCCCTGGACCCTTGGGGACGTGCCACATCACTGCCAGCAGAGCCCTCACCTGGGGGCCTGTGCCTGTGTCCTGGGGAGGACCAGGCCAGCCACGCCGTTGCTGGGGGTGGTGGCAGCCCTGGGGCTCCCTTGTCCCCACCCCTGTCTGTGCTGGGGGAGGTGGTGGCAGTCTGGGGACGCCGTGTCCCTGTCCCTGTGCCTGTCCCTGACGTGGCTCCGTGTGCAGGAGGAGCTGAGCAGCACCAGCGTGGAGCACCTGATCATCAACCCCAACGCTGCCTACGAGAAGTTCCGGGACAAGCGCCTGGGCACCGAGGGTGTGGGTGAGCTGGGCAGCTCGGGGGGGCCGGGGGGGCTGGCCCTGAGCCAGGGACCACCGGGCACGGAGCCCCCCGAGCTGGGCTGGTCACACCGGCTCTGCCTTTGCAGATTTCTCTGACCGCATCGGCCGCACGCGGACAACGGGTTACGAGGCTGGGGAGTATGAGATGGTGAGTGGGCAAGGGGCACCCCCCTCCCCACGCTGTGCTGGGGGCACCCCTGGCTGCCACAGGTCCCTTGGGACCCCCGGGGTCACCTGCTGCAGCCCCCAGCCTCACAGGAGCCAGCTCCACCAGCACCATGCTGGTCTGTGCCCAGTCCATCCCAGTCTGCCATGCTGGGAGCCCCTGTCCCGACCACAGACCCCCGAGGGTGCTCAGGGCAGTGCTGGTCACCAAGTCCTGGGTGGAGCTGGGGGTCCCAGGGTAGAGCTGGGGGTCCCAGGATAATCCTGGCTGGCTCATGTTCAGCTGGGTGTCCCCCAGCACCCCCAGGCCTTTCCTGGGTGCCCCCCATGTCCTGGTGCTGGGCTCTGTTTCCCCCAGCAGGGCCCTGCCTGTCCCCTCACTGGCTGGAGTTCTGTCACCCCAATTCCCTGGGCTGTCCCGGTTCCTCTGGTCCTTCAGGACCCTCCCAGGGGGCTCAGGGTGGGCTGCAGGCCCTGTCACCCAGGAACAAGGGGGGGAAGGTGGCTGAGGGTCACCTGGCTCCTTCTTGGCCTGCTGGAAGGGGGTGACAGCTGTGTCCCCTGGCTGGTGACTGTCAGGCCAGGCCATCACCCCCCACACCAGGGTGTCTCTGGGCACAGCTGGGTTTGGGCAAGGACCAGGGAACCCCCACATGCCACGGGGGGATGCCACCACCCAGAGCCATGCACAGCTTTGGAGCCTGGGTGAGGAGGAGGAGGAGGAGCTCTGTGGGCACTGAAATGGGGAGATCCGTGGGGGTGGTGATGAGGAACTTCATGTGGGTGAGGATGAGGAGTTCCATGGGGGTGAAGATGAGCTCCGTGAGGATGAAGATGAGCTCCAGTGCAGCTCCTCTCCCTGTGGGTTCAGGGCTGTCCTGGGCTGCTCCTGCCCTGCCCCACTGACCCTGTCAGGATCTCTTTGGGTGCCACCTGAGGTTCTGTCACCTGGGGCTGCTCTGACCTGTCCCTGCAGGCCTCACCTGCTCCTTCTGCTTGGTGCCAGGTGCTGCCAGCACCTGTGAACCCCCTGAGCCCCCGTGAGACCCCTGACCCCTCTGAGCCCCCTGAACTCTGTGAGACCCTGAGCACTCCATGAGACCCCTGACCCCCGTGAGACCCCTGGACCACCATGACCCCTCCACCATCCCATGAGCTCCCCTGACCTTGTGTGAGCCCCCCAACTCCCTGTGAGCCCCCCGACCCATTTCTCCCACAGCTGGGTGAGGGTCTTGGTGCCAAGGAGACGCCGCAGCAGCGATTCCAGCGGTTGCAGCACGAGGTGCAGGAGCTGCTCCGGGACGTGGAGCAGATCCAGGTGAGCACCCACCTGCCCCAGGTGAGCCCCCACCTGTCCCAGGGTGTGTCCCGGGGGTGACACGGCCCCTGTGTGTCCCCAGAGCTCAGTGAAGGAGGCGGGGGCTGAGGAGGAGCTGACGCCCATGGCCCTGGCCAGGCAGGTGGAGGTGCTGAAGCAGCAGCTGCTCAGCTCCCACCTGGAGAAGGTTCTGGGCCCCGGTGCCGCCGTCGACTTCGCTGATCCCGAGGGTGCCCTGGCCAAGTGAGTGGGGGACACGACCCCGGGGGGACATGGCAGCGTGTCCGTGGGGTGGGACAGGGACCCTCCAGCTTGTCCCCTGCCCGCCCTGTCGCTGTGCCCACCCTGTGCCCACCCTGTGCCCTGCTGGCTGTCCCCAGGCGGCTGCTGCAGCAGCTGGAGGTGGCCAAGTGCAGCAAAGCCGCGGCGGGGAAGGGCCCCGCGCGGGCCACCCCCCCTGCCGGCGATGCTGTCACCTTCGAGCTCTACTGGAGGCCGGAGCAGGACCAGTTTGCCCAGTCTGCCAAGGTGAGCGGGGCTGCTGGCCCCGCAGGGGTGTCCTGGCTGGGGGCACCACACCTGGGACCAGCAGCTCACCCCAAACCCCGCAGGTGTCGGAGCTGGAGAAGCGTCTGGCCCAGCTGGAGGCGGCCATGAGGTGTGAGCCCGACAGCCAGGTGAGTGCCCAGCTGGGGGGGGCTGCCCTGCCCACCTCCTGCCCCTTCCCTACCCGTCCTTCCTCTGCCCCCACTGACACCATTTCCCCCCACAGAACCCACTGCTGGTGGGGCTGAAGGGCTCCAGTCTCATGGTGAGTTGGGCAAGAGGGGTTTGGGGAAACCCCTGGCCCCCTCTGCCCTCAGTGCTTTGGGGGGGCTGCTGTACCCCCCTCACCTGTCCCCCCTCCCCAGGACACGGTGCAGGTACTGCAGGCCAAGGTGAACGTTCTGGACGTGGCTGTGCTGGACCAGGTGGAGGCTCGGCTGCAGGTGAGGGGAGCTGGGGGGCACTGCTGAAATTGGGGGGCACTGCTGGAACTGGGAGACATTTCTGGATTTGGGGTTTTTGTCCCCCCACACCAGAGCGTCCTGGGGAAGGTGAATGAGATCGCCAAGCACAAGGCCACGGTGCAGGACGCTGACACCCAGAGCAAGGTAGGGGCTGTGGGGCCCAGAGGCCAGGGGGGGTCCAGAAAAGCCCCCCCAGGCCGTGCTGACCCCCCACCTGCCTCCCCCAGATCCACCAGCTGTACGAGACCCTGCAGAGCTGGGACGCTGTGGCCAGCGCCCTGCCCGACGTGGTGCAGCGCCTGGTGACCCTGAGGGACCTGCACGAGCAGGGTGAGGGCCGGGGGGGCTGGGGGACACCTGGGGGGGGTCCCTGCCCTGCCCAGCACTCAGGTGTGTCCCCCTGCAGCCACCCAGTTCGGGCAGGTGCTGGTGCACCTGGACACGACGCAGCAGGAGATCGCGGGGGCTCTCAAGGACAACGCCGTGCTGTTGGCTGAGGTGGGTCCCCCTGGCCCCCCGCTGCCCCCCGTCACCTCATCCCCCCCT